ATGAATATAAACAGTAGGTTGAATATGAACAGTAGTATGAATATAAACAGTAGTATGAATATGAACAGTGGTATGAATATGAACAGTAGTATGAATATAAACAGTAGTATGAATATGAACAGTAGTATGAATATAAACAGTAGTATAAATATGAACAGTGGTATGAATATGAACAGTAGTTTGAATATGAACAATAATATGAATATAAACAGTAGTTGGAATATAAGCAGTAGTTTGAATATGAATATGAACAGTAGTTTGAATATTAACAGTAGTGCAAATTGAATGAGCACATGAGCATGTGTTGAGTGTATAACCTGTTTTTTAATGATGCAGAGTTCAGTGTTAGAAAGTTTTTGTGTTGTGTGGAAATGTGTGAAAGTTTTGTGTGTTAAGGCGGTACAAGAGGGAGGGGAGGCAGAGCAGGCAGAGAGTTCAGCATCCTGACTGCCTGATGAACACAGCTGTCTCGCAGTCTGCTGGTTCGAGCCTGGAGACTCCGCAGTCCCCTCCCTGATGGCAGCAGGCTGAAGAAGCTGTGTAGTGGGTGTGTGGGATCACCTGCCATGCAGAGGGCTTTCTGAGTGAGGCGGGTTTTGTGTAAGTCATGTAGTGAGGGGAAGGAGGTGCCGACGATCTTCTCGGCTGCTTTCACGATGCGCTGGAGTGTCTTGCAGCAGGATGCAGTACGTGCACTGAACCACACCGTGATGCAGCTGGTCAGGACACTCTCTATGGCACCCCTGTAGAAGGTGCACATGATGGGGGTTGGAGCTCCAGCTCTTTTCAGCTTGCGGAGAAAGTAGAGGCGCTGGTGATCCTTCTTGGCCAGTGATGCAGTGTTTCTGCTCCAGGACAGGTCCTCTGAGACGTGCACTCCCAGAAACTTGGCGCTGCTCACTCTCTCCACAGTAGTGCCATTGATGGTCAGAGGAGCATGCTGGGCGTGCATCTTCCTGAAGTCCACAACAATCTCCTTCGTCTCATCCACGTTCAGAGAGAGATTGTTGTGCCCGCACCACAAGGCCAGGCGGCTCACCTCGTTTCTGTAGTCTGTCTCGTCATTGTTGCTGATGAGACCCACCACAGTTGTAACGTCCGCAAACTTGACAAAGTAGTTGGAGCTGTATGATGGTGTGCAGTCGTGTGTCAGAAGGGTGAATAGAAGTGGGTTCAGCACGCAGCCTTGGGGGGCCCCTGTATTCACTGTTATGGTGCTGGGTGCGTTACTGCTGACCCATACTGCCTGTGGTCTCCCGGTCAGGAAGTCTACCCAGACTGTCCAGTTTAAGGATGAGCTGTTGGGGGATGATGGTGTTGAATGCCGAGCTGAAGTCAATGAACAACATTCTAACATAAGAGTCCTTAGTGTCCAGATGTGGCTGCACGGTGGCGCAACTGGTAGAGCTGCTGCCTCTCAGCGAACAGGTTCCTGGTTCAAACCCCGGTCAGGGGGCTTTTCTGGGTGGAGTTTGCATGTTCTCTCTGTGCATGCGTGGGTTTTCTCTGGGTGCTCCGGTTTCCTCCCACAGACCAAAAACATGCATGTTAGGCTGATTGGTAACTTTAAATTGTCCCTAGGTGTGAGTGAGAGAGTGAATGGTTGTTTGTCTCGTTTGTCTCTATGTGTCCCTGTGATGGACTTGCGACCTGTCCAGGGTGTACCCCGCCCCTCGCACAGTGATTGCTGGACATGGGCACCAGCGACCCCCGTGACCCAAAATGGAATAAGCGGGTAAAGATAATGGATGGATGGATGGATGTCCAGATGTGTGAGTGCTGTGTGGAGGGCAGAGGAGATGGCGTCATCGGTTGAACGATTTGGCCGATGTGCAAACTGGAAGGGATCCAGGGAGGCAGGAAGGACAGAGTTGATGTGTTTCATGACTAGCCGTTCGAAGCACTTCATCAGGATGGGGGTGAGGGCCACCGGACGATAGTCATTGAGGTAGGAGGGCGATGCCTTCTTTGGGACAGGGATGATGGTGGTAGCCATCTAATATTTTCTAGTGTTCTATAGCTTTTCAAACCGTTTGGGTTTTACCATGCATTTCTTTTACTTATTGCTAAAGTTTTGCTACATCTGGCATTTAGTGTTTCATGGTACATTTTCCTAGAGTTGTGCTAATTAATGCTCATAACGAGCATTTTCCTGCAGGACAAACATACCAGCAAACACTAGCATTTAGCTACTTCTAGTTGAATACTAACATTTTCCTGCCTTTTGTTAGCATTTTGCTACTATTGGCTCTTTGTTAGCGTTTTCTTGCATTTAGCCAGTGCTTTGCTACTTCTGGCTAAATGTTAACATGTTTTTGCATTTTGCAAACCTTTTGTTACTTTTAGCTAGTTTTTTCTCTCTTTTTTTGCTAGCAATTTGCTACCTTTAGCACCTTTTACCTTTGTCTTTTAACTGGGGGAGTGGTGACGCAGAGGTTAGAGAAGGCAGGCCTGTGATCAAAAGATCGTTGGTTCGACACCCACAGACCGACATCAACATGTAAGTGGGAAAGGTGGAACACCCACACCTGTCTCCACCCTCATTTACCCCACTCTGGACCCTTGAGCAAGGCCCTTAACCCCCACCATTTGCTCCTGTGGGTACCCCAGATGGCAGTTCTCTGCTCCACACAGAGGGCTGTGGTAGCTTGGAAGTCTGTGGTTGTGTCAGGAAGAGCACCCGGTGTAAAAAACATCGCCAGGTCTTTGTGTGAGTTAGTTTGCTGTGGTGACACCTGAAGGGAGCAGCCAGGTAAAAAAAAAAAAACACCTTTGTCTTTTAACTAGCAGGTTTTTTCCCCTTTCCGCTAGTATAATGTTCAGTCAGATCATCTGGACAGTTTAGAGACGTTTCACCCTTCATCCAAAGGGCTTCATCAGTCTAAGGAGTCACAAACAAACTGTTTTCCCCACCAAGCAACACACTCCTTTATTGGACCAACCAGTTTGCAGGTGATTAGATGTTCAGTGCCCTGAGATGACTTCTGCTGTGACTTTGCATTATATAAATAAACTGAATTGAATTATTGAGCATGAACCTTGCTTTCTGCTAGTAATTTAATACATGTTTAATGTTTTATTAATTTTTGCAACTAATATGTTAATACTAATGGAAATCAGCAATAATTAGAATTAATGTGTCCCTGTGGTGGACTTACTTGCGACCTGTCCAGGGTGCCCCCTTCCTCTCGCACAGTGATGGCTGGATATGGGCACCAGTGACACCCCCCCCCCACCCCCATGAACCAAAAAGGAAGAAGAGGGTAAAAATAATGGATGGATGGATGATTAATAATTTCCTGATTTTTGCTAACATTTTACTACTTCATGCACAGAGCTAGTGCTTTCCAGACTTTTTGCTAACATTGTGCTACTTTTGGAAATTAGCTAAAATTTTAATTAATCCTGCTAGCATTTTGCTACTTTCAGTTAAAGCTAGCCTTTTGCTTCATTTACCTTAAAGCTAACCATTACCTACTTATGGGTTCGGCTCAGTTTCAGAGTCTTTAGCAAAGTTTTTCAGATAGCTAAATCTTACAAATCGTACAATCCCAACCAGTTTGCAGCTCAGTTTAAAATTTCAGCTTTTAGAAAACTCATTGAGCAACAAGCATTCACACTGCATTTTAGCAGGAAAT